ACATTTGGTCACAAAGTTAGTTTTTACCACTCACAACCTCTATCATGATGAATAAAAGGAGTCGAAATTAGCCTATTGTCACACTCACCCTCTCTAGCTTTCACCAAATTTCCCTTTGTTAGTTGACGTAGATGTCTGCATCCCGTTCCGCTCTCATCACTCACATTAGACAATGCTAAAGCCTCTTGATACATTAGTTTTGATTTGTCTTAATTCATACTGACACAACATCCAAGCACCATCAAGATTGAGGGCTCGTTGTGCACGTACTGCGCCATCACGCAATGATTCCTCGTCAGGGTTAAACTGTTCCCAGGAGACACTATCTACAACCGCTCTTTCCTCGAAGGCCGAATAACAAATCCTACAGCAGGGTTATAAAACCCAAAAAGTGAATGCTTTCTTAAAATGTGCAAAGTTTAGAATGCCAGAATGGTACCTGGATCAAAATGTTCGAAAATGTGTAACGAAGTGAAATCATATCGCAATGCTCGCATCTCAGATTACTAGCCAACTTGCAGAAATCAGGTGTCGCTCTCTTAGCCAGCATTACAAATAGCATCAGGCAAGTTCAAGAAGCGTGGACTTCACTTGCACTGATAACACTTTCCCTTTCACGTCTCTGGTGTCAACTCTTCACTCCTGAATAATAAATACTCAAGACTAAAGTAAAATACTCATTCTTATTGCTCTGGCTGTGCGCATAGGACTAAGTAGGTACGGTCAACTTGGCTTCAGATCCGTTTTATGTGTGGCCACCACTCTGCGTTTACAAATAATTGCGTCCTCTTTCGTTTTGTAGGACATCGATGCGTTGAACGACCTCCTCACTTGCTGCGGTGAGCAATTGCTATGGCATTTGCATTTCGCATGATCACAAATGCATGGCTAAAGGGTCAACAGAAATGATACAATCTCCCCAAGACCCTCAAGACAGACAGGCTTACATCACTTTAATTCTCCTATTCAACATCTCAGATCATAAATTTAAAAAGTGCAACGGCTAAAATTGCAAAAAAATCTGCCAATGTCCCTCTCTGCACTGTTGCATCAGCCCATTCTTGCCTTCAAACTCTATTTTGTAGCCGCTTTTAGCCTACGACTGCAGTTCAAATGACACCGTCTAATTTAAT